CCATTTTTAATTACAGTGAAAACAGTTCATAACAAAGAGTGAGCTTAAGAAGATGTCACATTTTCACTGTTTAAAAAAAAATGGAGATAAGACAAGACGAAAGCACTGAGGTCACGGTTCGTGAACGCATGGAACAACCAACCACCAAAGACAGAAGAGTTCCCCATGCAGCAGACGTGAGAAAGAGTTGTCGTGAAGTACCAGATGTTTGACTTTGGCTAGTTCCTGCGTGGTGAGACCGGCAAACTCCTCCGTCTCCTCCTCCTTCTTAAAATACTTGGCCCTGTACTCGTCTGCCGCTGACAGTTGCTTCTGGAGATCCTGGTTCTCCTGAAAGTCACCGCCCATACAGTCAGACAGACGGACAGACACACGGACATACAGTCAGACAGACGGACATACAGTCAGACAGACGGACACACGGACATACAGTCAGACAGACGGACAGACACACGGACATACAGTCAGACAGACAGATGGACATACAATCAGATAGACGGACACACGGACATACACACGGACATACAGTCAGACAGACAGTCAGACAGACGGACATACATTCAGACAGACGGACATACAGTCAGACAAACAGACAGACAAACGGACAGACAGTCAGACAGATGGACATACAGTCAGACAGACATACAGTCAGACAAACGGACACACGGACAAACACACGGACATACAGTCAGACAGACAGTCAGACAGACAGACAGACACATAGACACACAGTCAGACAGACAGACAGACACACGGACAGACACACGGACAGACACACAGACACACAGACAGACACACAGACAGACACACCGACAGACAAACAGACAGATACACAGACACACAGACAGACACACAGACAGACACACTGACACATGGACAGACACACAGACAGACACACAGATGGACAGAGAGACAGACACACAGACAGACACACACACATACAGTCAGACACACGGACAGACACACAGACACATGGACAGACAAACAGACAGACACACGGACAGTCACACAGACAGACACACGGACAGACACACAGACAGACACAAAGACTCACAGACAGACACACAGACAGACACACAGTCAGACACACGGACAGACACACAAACAGACACACAGACACACAGACAGACACACAGACAGACACACAGACATACAGTCAGACGCACAGACATACAGTCAGACACACAGACAGACACACAGACATACAGTCAGACACACAGACATACAGTCAGACACACAGACAGACACACAGACATACAGTCAGACACACAGACAGACACACAGACATACAGTCAGACACACAGAATGTCAGGAACGTGGAACTTCCCAGACGTTGGGGAACAGGGTCATTACCACCAGACACTCCCAGCTTCTGACCGGGTTTTACAGCACTTGCAACACAATAAGGTCATATAAGTGCCGAAGATTAGGGGTGTTACAAGAGAGTAACATACACAAAAAATAAGGAGAAGAGATAAAGACGATAGATGTTTGATAGGAAAAAAGGAGCAGACCACACCAGAGCATCCGCCAACTACCCACTAATGGGGTTTAAAGAGGTCAGTGGAGTTCAGCCTCATTCAGACTAATGTGAAAACATGTGCAAGGGGACCATGAGAGGTTAATAAGAACAGAGGAATACAAACTGGAATATTCACGACACAAACAATCCCCCGGGCACCCCAACTAAACACAAACACAGCAAAAGAAACATGATCAGTGAGAATACTTGAGATCTACAGTCAACTAGAAACACGATCAGTGAGAATACTTGAGATCTACAGTCAACTAGAAACACGATCAGTGAGAATACTTGAGATCTACAGTCAACTAGAAACACGATCAGTGAGAATACTTGAGATCTACAGTCAACTACAAACATGTAGAAATATTTAGATTCTAGAAACATGTAGTAACATGTAGAAACATGTAGAAACATCTAGAAACATCTAGAAATATCTAGAAAAAGGTAGAAACATCTAGAAATATCTAGAAACATGAAGAAACATCCAGCAATATCTAGAAAAAGGTAGAAACATCTAGAAATATCTAGAAACATGTAGAAACATCTAGAAACATGAAGAAACATGTAGAAATATCTAGAAACATCTAGAAACAACACACAAACACAGCAAAAGAACTATGATCAGTGAAAACACTAGAGGTCAACAGTCAGACACACCAGGCTGGCCTATACAAATGGTGGGAACACTAGAGGTCAACAGTCAGACACACCAGAGGTCAACAGTCAGACACACTAGAGGTCAACAGTCAGACACACCAGGCTGGCCTATACAAATGGTGGGAACACTAGAGGTCAACAGTCAGACACACCAGAGGTCAACAGTCAGACACACCAGAGGTCAACAGTCAGACACACTAGAGGTCAACAGTCAGACACACTAGAGGTCAACAGTCAGACACACTAAAGGTCAACAGTCAGACACACTAGAGGTCAACAGTCAGACACACCAGGCTGGCCTATACAGATGGTGGGAATACGCAGAGGGAGAAAAAAAAACCCATACTAAAGTGTCAGGACAAAGCGACCTTCTGGGAGGCATTACACCGCATCAAACAGGCAATGGGAAGCCATGTTGCCAAACACAACGTCCCCCCCCCCCCAAGACACACACAGACACAGACACACACACACACACACACAGACACACACACACACAGTATCGGAGACAGCGCGGCTAACGGCCTTCACCTTGTCCAGTTTGATCTTCTCCTCCTGGTACCCCTGGATCAGTTTGTCTCGATACTTCTCAAACTCCGCCTTCTGATCCTGGAGCTTCTGATTGGTCACTGTGGGAGGAAGCCGTTCCAGAAAGAGAACATGAATAACAGTAACAATAACAATAATAGTAATAATAATAGTAATAGCAATAATAATAGTAACAATAATAGTAAAAGTAATGGTAATAATAATAGTAGTAATAATAGTTATAGTAATAACAATAAT